CAAATAGGAAAATGGTCACTACCTATTGTACTATGTTCTAACACTTTCCATTCACACTTTCCAGCTAAGCTTTCTGAAACTATTGTCAAGTCTAACACTGAATGTCACCGTAAAGACTCGTATTTTTTTTTTGCTATACTGATCGTGCATTATTCATAAGGTGCATTATTTTTTATCAGGCAGCTATTATTAGGTGATAACATTTTCATAGGCTGTTTTTTTTTTTGCATATATCATATCGCATTGCACATTGCATGCATGTATTACACAGTTTGTGTTTTAAAGTTTTATACCTTTTAACACTTAGCTTACGTTTGTGATCATATCTTTATTCGCTGTATTCATCTCTTGAGCTTTCACCTGCCTGCATTTGCTACTGTATGCTATATTGTCAGAGCTAGTCCGTTACTGATTCCAGATAACATGACAAAAATTCTTGTTAGCAACAGTAATCCAGTACATTACACATTTTAGGTAATGTAATCAGACCACTTTTTGATTACTTTTAGATTACTTTTGGCCTAACTTGTTTATCATATTGATTTAAATAGGATAATCTTGTACCATATTGATATACAAATGCAGAGAAAAAGAAAATATATTACATTTGTTGTTAATAACATAATGAAGTGCATTGAACATTACATTAGGTTTCCTAAACTGGGGTTTGTGAAGGAACTGCAGGGGGTTCGTAAGTTTAATGAAAAGCTAATAATTAATTAAATCATAAAAATGTGAAATTAAAATAAATCATTTTTAAAATAACAATCAAAATAAAACGAACTAAAAAAATGTAATATTTGTTTACCTGCATGTCATGTTACTATTAACCAACGTCACAGAACTGTGAAAATGCAAATACTTAATTATTAATTTATTACCTTAAAATCTCAGGGGGTGGGGGGGATTCAAATAAATATATTAGGTGAAAGTTTGTGAATCCCTTAATTACATGTAATTAAGAAATAACGTGAATTTGTGCATTTTAATGTGTTTAAAAGAAAAAAACCTTCCAAAGACTCTTTTTAAAATTTAAATGATTTTTGTAAGTCCAGTGGTCAAATGCCGTGTGGCCTTTCAATTTTCTGTGTAATAATAGCTACCTGACTAGTTACTGGTCTTTGTGAGAATGTCCACAAAACTGGAAGACTTTCTGAATTAGGGAGAATAGATCAATTATGAATAATTTATTGCTATTGTGTGAATAATATGTAATCATGTAATCAATAAAAAAAGTAACTGTAGTCTGATTACAAGTATTTTAAAATGTAATTTAATCTAATTTCAAGTCCTTATGAAAGGATTCATGAGATATGTCTGTGATACATTACTCAACGCTGCAAAAACACGTAGAAACCTTTGAAGCTCCCCTGAGCGCAATCACAAGTATGATGATGATCTGGTCAGTCGCACTGGTGCTCCTAAAAATTTCATAGTAGCATGCAGTAGTTTTCAGTCGCAAATGCAACTGAAATAGTCGCACTGTAGAGCCCTGCATCTAAACTTTTCTAAAGACAGCAAGTTCCCCTCAGACATGGATTCATAAACTACCCCTAAATGAATCGCGATTTGTTTAGCATCTCAACCGATTTGAATCGTCACATATTTGAATCGATTTTCAACCGGCTCGCGGTTAATCGTTACATCCCTAGTTACTACCCAGCTCTGTATATTGTACATTTGGTAAATAAACTTGATACTGATTGCAGAAAAGTAGGAACGGCAATTTAGCACCACCTGGCAGTAGGGGTTCAATCTTCAACTGGCTGGCAGGAGCCGCCACTGACAGGTCACGTGACCTGCCAGTGGTTGGTGGCAGCTGCCAGTAGCAAGTCACGTGACCTGCCAGTGGTTGTTATTTATATTTTAATATTATATTATGCATTTATATTGTTACGAACAAATCTTAATTAACATATATAATATATATATATATATATATATATATATATATATATATACGTTTTTGCTGAGATTTGACACAATTTTGCATCGTGATTACGTAATGACGTTATCACGCAATGTCATCACAACATCATTTAGCAACTTTTAGCAACAAATCAACCTTCCTTTAGCAACTTCCCCTGAAAATTAGTTGGCAACACTGATCCCACCCAGTTTGTAGCAAGAATTCAAAAAAGCAGCCTGGGTGTGTCTAGTTAACCACGCACACCTCGACAGACTTCTTGCACGAGTGTGTTTGGTGAAGCGTTACATAAAGAGAGCAGACAGACAATGTTTTAGATATCATTTTAGTTTTACTCAGAGCCAAAGCATAATTGTACTGCTATAACAGCTATCTTGTGGCTCAGTTCTGAGAATTATGTTTAGTTACACGCAATATGTTTCAGGCTGACTCCACCTGCTGGCTTGTTAGCATTTTGAGCACATTACACTGACTGAACGTCGTCAGCTGACTGCTGGTTTTACGTTAGTTTAACTGACACGGAGGAAAGTGGATCAGTGCGTCAACTCACGAATTTTTATTTAAATAGGCTCAGGTTGAAGGATTATATCGCTAGATATTTCTTTCTCCAAGCTTCAGCATCGATCGTGTAAAGTTTTCTGGATTTCAGACAGCGCGTGGTAAGATTGTTACTGTTTTATTTTAGCATCACGTGCTCTTGTAATGAAGTACTGTTCGACTGCTTTTTTACATCGATTGAGTAATCTATAATGCTTTAACTAGTAAAATAACTAGTACCTGTCATTTTGGCGGAAACTACGGTGACCATGGACATGGTAAATATTTGCGCAGGGTGGGGTGTGAGGCCAAATATGTGAACATGCTCAAGTACTGTAGAGTACAATAGTGATATTTAGCTTGTATTCATACCTACATAACTTAATTGACTTATAGTCTATATTTAAAGATAAAGTTATAATAGAGGAATATGGGAGTAAGATAAGATCACACTTTCCTAAAATGCCTTCCTGCCCGCCTTAGGGACGGGATATCTGGCACCTGTGGCTGTGTTTCAGTCTTTCAGATCCTCTGAGCTGCCTACCTAAACATCATCACACACATTGAATGCAACTATGATGCCCAAAACCGCTGTTGAAGTAGGCAGCTTACTAGATATTGAAACAGCCTGTTTTTCAGTCAGTTACATTAACGTTTTCTATTCAATACATATATCGTATTAAAAACCCATTTACTGTGCCAGTCTGCCAGATCGACCCTATCAAAGAGAGAATAAATAAACCGCAAAAGCAACTTTATCTCTGTACAACAGTTATTTGAGTATGGCTGATAGCATAAAATTTTGGCCAATTTCAAGCACTAGGGTGGACCAGTAAGGAAGTGAAAGTATCAAGTCAGTTACATTAACGTTTTCTATTCAATACATATATCGTATTAAAAACCCATTTACTGTGCCAGTCTGCCAGATCGACCCTATCAAAGAGAGAATAAATAAACCGCAAAAGCAACTTTATCTCTGTACAACAGTTATTTGAGTATGGCTGATAGCATAACATTTTGGCCAATTTCAAGCACTAGGGTGGACCAGTAAGGAAGTGAAAGTATCATTTTTTTTCCACTTTAAAAATAAAAGGTTGCTTAGCAGAGTACACAATGATGTAACAGTGTATGGTAGGCTTGCTTGAGTCATGCTGGCAGTGTTGAACTGATACAAGAATGGAGACATTCTTTTCCAGTCTGGCTTGAATTACACCGCACCCTCCATGTTTTTGTAAACATTATAATCAGCCTACATACTATAGGGGCATATAGAAAGTACTTACATGTGCTTGGTTTGAAAGTAAAAAGTGACATTAAACCTGGTTTTATATTGTTCATGGAGTTCTGTCACATATCCTGGAAAATGTTGGTTCATTTAGTAACGGCCTATGGCTCAGTTTAGTTGCTCTCTGAAGTTAATTTGACAGTCACTCCTTTCTGAACTTGAAATGTAGAAACGCCTTTTCCCAGGATACTTTCATTAAATGACAATCCGATTCACCCAGTTTAGACTTTGAATTGGGTTGAATAAGATTTTCCTTAGCAGATGTGAGTCACATGTTCATGTCGACCTCACTGTGTGGTCCTGAGTGACCTGCTTTACATCTGTTTGATAACAGGAAGTTATGATCCTGACGCACAAATAATGTCTTAACGCATGCAAAAAAAAAAGTATAATTCAAATTTCAAAATCTCACTCCCTAACCTGAACATAGGAAAACGTAGTTGCTGAGAAAAAACTAGGTGTATTCACAGCACTCACTGTAAGGCCTTTCATGGGCTGTGCCTTCGGCTGTTTCCAGGAAGACTGTTTAAAGTGTGGTTAGTGCCTTTTTGCTGTGATCAGTACTGTCACTGTGTGAGTGAAAATGGCAACGTAACATTAGAAGCTTTGGTACTCCCAGATCCAAAAAATCGTCAGTTTATATCTTTCTTTCATGCATGTCATTGTAAGGATTAAAATGGAAAGAAATCTTTCAAAACGCAGCATGAGTAGACGTGTAGTCACGGAGTGAATTTATGTCCACTTATCTGTTGTTTGCATCTGGACCTCTCAAACCCCTACACAGCCACATAATAGTTCTTGATGGGAAGAGGCAGGAAGGATATTCTAAGTTTAGTGCTCCTGCAGAAATGTTGTCCACAAGTATATTAAGATCATTGTACATTTCCGTCTGAATTGTTTTAAAAAATGAATCATGACAAGTGTTGAATTTCTCACACTTGCTGTGCTATATGAATTATTTTATCTGCTTTTTATCCACTTCATTAACTAAATTATAGAACAATAATTTTAGAAAAAGTGAGAACCAGTAACACCACTGACAAATTTAATAATTAGGTTGAATTTTCAGGATAGAGAAGTTATTACAAAAACAATAATGCTACTGTTCATTTAATGCTACTGTTCATTGATATTACAAGAATAATCACACATGGCCTTTAGTCTATATAAGAACAATTTGTGTTTTTCATAAAGGTACTGCAGTTGTCTTTATATTTCTTTAACATCAATGACATTTATAACATAACTATATAGTATTATAACAATTTACACACAATTGTTCAATCATTAATGAGTAATAATTGTGTGTAAATTATTATAATATTATTATATAATTATTATAATTTTTCTCAAAATTTATCTTGTTACCTTTTTTCAGTTGTTCTGATTTAATTCTTTTTAAATCATCAATTTAATGATTTAACTACATTTCTGATACTTTTACCTTTACCTTTTGAACGGTAAAATATCTCTTCTCGTGCATAATTTCATGCTCTAAAAGACAATTAAAATGAAAATAATTTTAATTAAATTACATACCATATCAAGTTACTTTTAAAACATTAATGGTTTTCTACATGGGTTTGACTTTCTTACATCTAAAAGTGAGAGACGACATCAGTAACTGCAGTCTAGAATGAATAATTACTATAGTGAACTCTACTTTTGTTAGTATTGAAAAGTCCCGAGACAGTATTCATGTATCCGACAAACAGGAAGTTCATTCTTGCCTGTGAAATGTTTTTGGAGTTGAATGATGAATATGTTTTCCTGCTTAAAAATAATTATAATAATAAAAGGAAAGATCGTCTCAAGCTCAGTTATAGGCTGTGTTCAATAACTGACAGATCATGGGGTGAACGGATCAAAGTATAGAAGTCCCAAGGTTTAGCTTATGAGTAGGGATGCACCGAAATGAAAATTCTCGGCCGAAGCTGAACAAAATTAAACACTGGGCCGAATACCGAACACGGTTTTTCGAGTTTTTTTCCCCATGTATTTTGCCAATTTTTTTTCACCATTGCATAAATTAAAAAGCCAAAATGTGTTTTTTACTGTTTTGTCTTGCTTTTCAAAGAAAAAAAATCTATTACAAAACAACAAACAAAATATTTAACACTGAACATTTTTAACATTCTAGCAGACACTATACCAACAAAGCACAATTTAACTTAAAATTAATAAGTTAGTAAAATAATAATTTTTGGCCATCAGACCCCCTTCTTGAATCAGGCATGT